CTCTAGATGGGTTTTTATGCTACAAGTTTCAAATGTCCTAAAAATGCCTCTTTTTCTACGTGTTCTAATTAGGTTGGAAGACTGAGGTGTTTAGCATACTTGAAATTCATTCACACGCTTACAAAGAGGCCCTGAATTGTTTCCCACCCCCCCACTCCTTCCTCCTGGGAAGGGGGTGAAAAAAGCCTGGAGGGCCCGGGGACGTGAAGGACGCAGGGCCGGACTGAAGGGGTGAGACAGGCCGCGGTTATTGTTCCTGTGTCCTGGATTCCATTTTGCACAGCTTGAGAGACTAACTGGCAGAATAACCCTCTCCCTTCCGTGTCTCAACAAGGCTTTTTGGGAAATAATGAAAAACGCGTGTATTAATCCCAGCCTTAGAGTTAAAAACAATAGATACCAATAGCTTCACAAACATCAGAACTATTAATAAGTATGTTTTACATGAACCTTACATCTCTTTCATTCCCTGGAATTCTACAGGTGCTCATATTTTATCTCTTTTGGTTTTTGGAAATACTTGGCACTCTCAGTGGGCAAATTTGCCAGGGTTGAAAATAGTGGGAGTTGAAAAACCGTGGAATACAGTCAAAAAGAAAGGGAAACCCTCATTGGAAAGTATGTGCAGACTGGGAACATGCCAGGGGAGGGCTGTCTCATTCGGTGCCCTTTGTGCAACGTGTGTATTATTGGGGATGGACAAGTGTTGGCTAATAATAAAAATTATTTGAAGTTGGAGAATGTTAATCACTCCCACTGGAATTTAGCCAGAATACTTGTGTTATTTCATATGGTTCTGACTCAAACGATATTATCTACTGGTTTGTAAACCTCTCTCTGCTTAATCAATAATAGCGAAATGTTATTTTTGCTTATAGATCTCTAATAATGGTAGTAATAACAGCAGAAAACGTTGCCAAAAGAGAATTATTTTGCATTGCATAGCTTCTTGTACCATTTGAATTTTTGCTTTTTTAAAAATCATTCTTCAATTTAAAATATGCTGACTGTTTAACATGTATTAGGCAGGGTGCTAAATAATTCATTTATGTTAGCTCATTTAATCCTTACAACAATCAGATAAAACTGGCACCATAATGACTTGCCTGAAGTTACTTATTCAGTCATTGGAAAGCATAGAAATCAAAATTTTCTCCTGAGTCATAATTTATTATTCAACAAGCTAGATAACACTAAATCATTTTTTAAAAGTATATCTTTATTGATTTCAGAGAGAAGAAGGGAGAGGGAAAGAAACAGAAACATCAATGACGAGAGAGTCATTGATCGGCTGCCGCCTGCACGCCCCCCACTGGGGGTCCAGCTGGCCACCTGGGCACGTGCACTGACCGGGAATCAAACCTCCATCTCCTGGATCATAGGTCTATGCTCAACCACTGAGCCACGCCGGCCAGGCAACATTAAATTATTTTTAAGATGCATTTGTAAGCACCCAGAACATTGTCAAACATTCTAGTCTATTAGTTTACTCATATACCTTCCATCCATCCATCTATCCAAAAAACACCAATTTCTGAGTCGAAGACACTACTGCTATATTAAACATGTTTCTACAAAGCCAAGTTCATGAAATTCAACTTAAATTATTGTCCATGGTGTGTTTATTAATTGGTGAAAATGCAGACGATGATGCTAACTAACCATCCCATCTAGTAAGTGAGTGACATTCCAAAAGTTTTAAAGTGTTGGTTTTGGATTCTGTCATCAGGGAATAGTTACAGCATTTTTAATCTTACTAAACTTGTGTTGATTATACATGTATTATTCTGTTGAGACACTTGAGAGTTTAATGCTATAGGAATGAATAGACAGTAGTCTTAGTATACTCTTCAATATCTTGATAATCAAGCCAGGAACAGTCTTGATTAGATGCCTTCAATTAAGCTGTGAGACAAATGGATGAATTAATGACAACTGAGATTAACTCTTTAAACTTAAGCAACTGGCATTGAATCCTTGAATACAGCTTACCTTATGAGAGCTGTATCTAAGGTTGACCATGCCCTGTTAAATGCAGCATGAGTCAGGACCTTGGCTCTGCCTTTAATAGCTGTGCCACCTTGGACAAGTCACCTAACAGCTCCAGGTCCTCTTTCCTCATCTGTAAAATGGAGTAACAAATAGTTATCTACCTCATAGTGTTGTATTGAGGGGTAAATGAATCTATATGGTAAAAGGCTTAGAGCCTTGTCTAGCACCTGGTAAGTCTATACAGGTCTTGGTTGTTATTATCTACTATGGTTTATTCTATTTTTCTGTTTTCCCAATCTTGTATATTTCCTTTTGTATATTATTGTATTTTTGTGTGTTAATCTTCACCTGTGGATATTTTTTCCATCGACTTTTAGAGAGAGTGGAAGGGAGGGAGGGGGAGAGAGAGAGAGAGAAACATCGATGTGAGGGAGACACATCAGTTGGTTGCCTTCCACACTCCCCCTGACCAGGCCCGTGGATTGAACCTGCAACCCAGGTATGCGCCCTTGACCTGGAATCAAACCCGAGACCCTTGGGTTGGTGGGCTGACACCCTAACCACTGAGCCAAACCGGCCAGGGCTCCTTTTGTATATTACTTTAATAATGAAAAAAAAATTTACATTTTTTTAGATGTACTTTGTGTCTGAGCACACTCTCAGCTGTCACCAGCTATCTCTAGCATTTAGATCCCAGCTAAATCTGATGCCAAAGCAGGGATCAGTTCACTTGCCCTGGATCAAAGTGCAAACACCTGACATCAACCACCAGCCGAGAGCGTGCAGTGTTGGCACAGGATAGACACCTGTGAGCCAACACGAAGCCCTCACAGGTATTTTCACGCCAGCTCCTTACATGTCCTCGAGCATTTCTGATTAGTTCTCATCAAATCAAACACCTCTAGACAAGAAACCAAGACACTCACCAGAGGATTAACATAGTGAGTCATTTGTACAAGTTCATAATGAGAGTGTCTTACTCACGTTAGAAGCGGAATAATTCAACT